CTGCAACAACACGGGAATTGCAGAGGCGTTGCCGGCCTTTTAAAAAGGAGTAGGATCTTTTCTTGAAAGGTCTCTAAGTTGTATAGGTCCGGATAAAATCTCTGGTGGTAGTCGATTCCACAAGGATGTTGCGCAAAGAAGAAAGCTACTTTAATAAAAAGCCTAGTGCATAGGCCCTCCAGCGATTCTGCCATACGGACGAAACCGTCAGAAAATCAAAGGTGAGTGATGTACTCGCCATTGATGTTAATACCGTATCCTTTCCAATACAGTAGCTTGAAAACGTTTTCCAATGCAGCGGTGAAGAGGTTCGGGAATATAACGTCACCCTGTCTTACAGCTCTCTGCAGTTGGATAGATTTCGTGCTCTCGTTCTGTACTCGGATAGCCATCGTAGCCCTACTGCACAAACACTTCAGCACTTCGACACACCGACAGTCAACTTGGCACTGCAAAAGGGACTGTAGCACCGCGCAAATTTCGACGAAATCAAAGGCTTTCTCATAGTCCACATACGCCAGGCAAAGTGGCAGATTGTACTCTTCGGTCTTCTGTACAATCTGCCACAGCGTATGTATGTGGTCTATGGTACTGAAGCCTTTTCGGAAACCGGCTTGTTCGAGAGGCTGGAAGTCTTCGAGTCTGCGTGCATGCAATATTATCGGAACATTGTCGGATGAGACTTGCCCATAGAACCTCTCAATCTCACTCAAAATCTCAGGTGTCCCGGAAACTATGCTGCCGCACTCGGTCTTCAGCTTCGATAATTGGCTCTTTCGGGCAGACAGATCTCTGGTTATTTATGCTTCAAAAACCGGGAAGTGAAGTCTCTAGCTTGACTGATTTGACAAAGCTGAGCTGGTTTCCAGAACTCCTTTTCTAAATGTGTATTTTGCATGTGATATATGGGCTTAGATGTGGGTATCTATATATAGCTTTGCAAATTTTGCCAGTGTAGTAAGTGGCCAAAATACTGAGCAGAAAATCCATACTCACCATCTACTGGACGATCATAAAACCTGTTGTGACGTACGCATGCGAAACCCGGACACTTACACAGAGGGACGAAGCGAAACTGGGGGTATTTGAAAGGAAAGTGCTCAGAAACATATTTGGACGTGTCCAAGAATCTGATGGCATGTATCGTCAGTGCATGAATCACAAACTTGATGCTCTTATAGGACGTGAGACCATCGTCAGGTTCTGTAAGTCATAGCGGCTAAGATGGGCAGGCCATCTGGAACAAATGCTGGATTCTAGGGCCGTGAAAGTCATGACCAAGTGGACTCCCCAGCAAAAAGATACTAAAAAAACGTTGGATAGAAAATGTGGAAGAGGACCTGAGAAGAATGGGTAAATACACCAACTGGCGCAGGTAGTCAAAGGTTCGCGACAAGTGAAGACATATTGTAGAAGAGGCCAGGACTCACAAAGGACTGTAGCGCCACAGGATAAGATAGTATGTGGCCAAGCATTGTTATGAATGACATTGTTTGAGTGCCAGCTTCATCACTTGCAATTCTTGATAATAACGGTAGCAGTAATTGTGGCACCAGATGGCAAGAAGCTTGATTGAATAACACCAACAGTATACTACTGAATTGTCATTGTAAGCTTCTTGTGTCTAATCAGTAATTTTGGTACTGTTAGGCTTGAGCACCTTGATCTAACCACTGTAATGAATGCTTGCGATTGTCACATTATAACATTCACTTTTTATGGGAGGTAACAATTTAATTCGAAATTCCCTACTTTTTATTCCAATTTAGCAATATGACTTAAGTTTGGATGCGGGCATGTTGTAGTGCGTTACTCAGGTCACTTGTCTAGTTTCTTTATTTTACAGACTGCTGACGTAAGCCCAGCCATAATTTGCAACAGATCCGCTTCAATTATTTCCTTCAGTTTGTCATTATCAGTCTTCTCCAGGCGGCCAAGGCATTAATTGGGAGTCATCAATAATGCATAGTTAGTTCATTGATCAGTAGTGTAAGATCTGCATAATATGTCATCGATATTGAGTGCTGTTTGAGATGCATTTTTTTCATGCAGGAACTCATATTCAACAATAACTCAAATTTTGTAGAATCCATGGTTATAAATATGGCAATATTGCAGAAAGATTAAAACCCAGACATAAACAATTGGTAAAATTAAAAAAATTGTACAACCCACTTCAATATAAATAGAATGAGAACAACATGAATGTAGTTGAAGTCAATTAAACACACATAATTAAGGATAACTCAAGAAGTACTGGTCAGATCTTTACCACATTTATATGGGATTACCAGTGAGAAGCACCAGCTTTCAAAGTAAAAAAGTCATCAAAATTGATTCAGCTATAAAAAAGTTTTGTGATAAAACACAAAAATACAGTTGTGTTGAGAAGCTTCTTTTTCTGAAGTAGGTTGAAAATAAACTAATAATTTTGAAAAAAGGAATAACATGTCGGAAATCAGAACTATACATATTACAGTTCAAAATGGCCAGTTAAACATAACAGGTATTCCATAGATGAAGACCTAATATTTTAATGCAATTATAACACATTTGTTGATTGTATTTTGTTTAAAAGCTATCCATTTTGTGATTTTATGAAGGAACATTTATTAGATGTTTTATGTTACTTATGATTTTTTTATTTACTAAAAACCTTTATACTTTGGTATTTTAAGGAACCTGCATGTTCGAAGACGACCCTGCCCCTGCCTATAAACGTAATGAGAACTGATTTTACCATAGCTTATTAGTGATTACACATTACTTTTTGATACCTATCTTTGATTATTAAGGTTTGTATGCAGTATAACCACTAAATTTAAGAAGTAAAATATACAATAAATAACAATAACACGAATTTATACCTAGTAACAAGTAGAGATCAGATAATATAATCATGTATTAGTAAAAGAGATCATGTAAAAAATAAAACAAAAAAGTACCGTAGCTGAATTTTGAAATGAATAATATAATAGATAAACAAGTACAACGTAGGAACAGTAAGTAGTAAATTACTTCGCATTTAACAAATATTTAATAAAGTAAACTTACAATATGGGTAAATGTATTAAAAAAGCGTTGAAACAGCATCGTAAAAGTAGAACTCAACACAATAATGTGGTGGTTTAATAAAAGACTACTACGCATTACCTTTACCATTACCATTTACCATTTTACCAATTTATTGCCATCAGACCATAGATAAATAGATATGTAGGAAGCTACCATAGATATAAGAAAAATAAAGGATAAACAGTAAATTGCAATATATGCATAATTTTTTGTTATACAAATATCATGCAAACATGAATCCAATCAACAAAAATATATCCTTCTCATTCTCACACGTCTTAATTTTCAAATGTAAAAAATAAGATAAGTATAAATCTTACACTTCATTTATAATGTCACCAAGCTTCACCTTGAAGCATGACGCATTTATAGGGTGACGTATATTTGTGGTAGTTCGTCTGTCATCTAAGCGTTGTTCAGAGGTGATTTTCAGTGTTTCAATCTTAGAGTACATTACATGGAGGGAGCATTGTGTGAGCAGAAAGCGTGATCGGTGCTCTAAGGTTTAGGTAGAGTCTGTCTCTCTCGCACATGCTTCTGACTGGCTGGCGTGTTTTCCACCGTTGCATCGCGCGAATGCGTGTTAACTCCGAAAGGAGTAATAGTGTTCTGTGCGTGTTAAGCGGGCTACATACGACACGATATCGGTGGCGATCTAGGGTGGAGTAGTGGGGATGCCTCCTAGATTGCCTCTAAATCGTGTCGTATGTAGGGCCATCCTAAGTCGTGCCCGATATCGCCTCCTTAATCGGCTGGCAGGAGCAAAAATGCTTCCTAGATCAGCCGATGCTTCCTAGATCGGGGCACCGCCCCCTCCTTACTGCGTGTGTGTAGGCGCATCGGCCCGATTTCTTTTGGCAGTCGCTGCCGGCAACCCTCGCGGAAGGAAGTTAACAAAACAGTGATACTGAATGACCTTTTTTTATATAACAAAATTTTTACATTTTAATCATATAAACGGAGTAGAAGCCTATGGCACTAATTTTTTTATTGCCGTTCGTAAAGTAGAGTGTATGATGTAAGTAAGGAGAAGATAAAGCCTCTCCTCAACAACTAACTCCTATTCCAACGCTATCAAAACAAGACCGCACTCATATCTCTTACAACTCCACAAGACCACACTTCGATCTCTTACGTGCCTTCATCCTCTTATCAACAACTAACTTCTACTCCTTCACCATCTCCACATCAACAAACAAGTTATATAAAAGGGAGTATGTCCGAAATTAAAGGTTTCTTTATGTTTAAAAAAAGATATAAGCTATTTTATTTTCTGATAGTTTTACTCCATAAATAAAGATTACATTAAAAAAAAAGTATACATATTATTATACAAAAGTATTTTATTTCCTTGTTTGTTGTGTGTAATACATAACCAGATTTTGACCAAAGCATAAATGAACAAAGAGAAGAAATAACTAAATAGCACAGGTAGGAGAAATTGACGTTTTTATATAAGTGGCGAAATTATTTCTAGAAGGTTATAAAAACTGTCTTCATCCATCCGGAGAAAATTAATTACGTCCGGATTACAGGCCATTTAGTACGTTTATGTGGCTTAATTTTTATCTCTTTTGGAGCCATTTTTTCACCCAGCAACTTCTCTTTTTCTATTTTCGAATAAATTAACCGAGATGGCTAATGCCAAACCAACACGGTGGTGTTTTAAGAGAGTCGGAGGTATTTTGAAGAACTCTACCGCATATGCATTCCGCTCCAAGTCCGAACGCGTACTGCTAGGCAGGCCCGTGTGTAAGTTCTACCCCGATAAAAGCCCCGATTTCTTTCCACCCTAGATCGCCACCGATATCGTGTCGTATGTAGCCCGCTTTAGTGTCAGTGTTTCAGTATATTAGAAAGTACTCTGTGGTTAGTGTCAACAAAACGTTCGTAAATAAATAATATATTAATAAATATATTTAAAAATGACGAAAAAATGTTGTATTCCTACATGTAAAGTTGAAAGTGATCAACCGGAAGGACGTGATTTAACTTTTCATACGTAAGTATATATTCTCAAATGATGTGTACTTGTAGGTTAGTTTTTATACAATACATTTATAATAAACTGCATTGTTTATTTAATAGAGTTCCAAATGATATGAGGGAAAAATGGACTGAATTGTTGCAAACACAATGTAACGTGGAATTAAAAAAAATATTCTTATATATGTAGTTTACACTTCCAACCGGGTTGTTTTTACTATAGTGGCTTATGTAAAAATAGAAGATTGAAGAAAGGATCATGTCCTACATTATTTGGTGATAAATTGTAAGTAGTCACAAAATATCTCACAATATTAATTGCTACAAATGAAAATGAGATGAATTTTTGTTTCAATATGATCGATAGGAATACTCAATTAGATGACCAATCTGGAGAAATTCAAGCAACTGATAATCATGACGAAGATGATTCGACGTTTAAGTAAGTTTCTACAAATATTTATACATAGATGTATATTTTATAAATATTCTATACTGTTAAGTTAACGCATAAAATCATCGTTTCCAGTGTATCAGTGGAAGCATCATCACCATCCTCTTCAGTAATAGATTATGACATTACTGGAACGCAGAAAGTAAATAATACTGATTTAAGTACTAGGTAAAAATTAAAAATTATGTCTTGCTTAAAACTTATGTTGCAATCAAATAATAACATTAAATATTACATTTTTTTTAGTGAAAAATTTGAAAATAATAGTACGAATACCAAAGAAAGAAAATCAATATTACATATGGACTTGGATTCTTTGAATATTTCTGGAGAAGCCAAAAAAATTCTTGAGAAGGCAAAAGAAGAAGTACTTGGTCTTCGCAGGAGAAACCGTCAGCTACAGATGAGGATACCGCAGCAGGAAAGGAGTAAAGAGTGCTACAACCTTATTTACTCACATGAAGAAGCGTAAACTTATTAGTGAGAATTTACATAACATACTCGAGGTAAGTAGTAGCAATTTAAATCACCCAACACACAAAGGTTTTAAAAAATAAATTTGTACTAATAATAGGTAACAATATATTGTGTGGTTGGTGTATAAAATGTGAATTTTTAAATATTTTGTATGACTTATATACAGATTAGGTAATTATTTAATCATGCGAATATTTAAATCTATTTAGAAGATATTCATATATACATATATTTTATTATTATATTAACTGAGACGTATTTTTTTAGTAAGAGTGAAATACTGAAATTGAATAAAATTGTATATATACAACCAAAAAGATAAAATTGGTTTCACTTATGCTATATTTATAATTATGTAAAATAAAAATCTATTGATGTTTGTAATATGTACATATTGCAACGGTACACATGGATGTGTGAGGTATTGTTGAAATATGTATATATTGTATTGTTGAAATATGTATAATTAATTTTTTCTTTAGTTTTATAATATTTTTATAACGATTTTTTTTACATAATTGTATCACAATAAAAAAAATTCTGATTTATACATACTATAATGCTTGAATGGGATATGCGATTGCTAAAATAATAAATTGTTTATAACTGATTTCTTATGTAATAAATTAAAAATATTTACAAACAGTGTTAATGTTTCTAAAGTGAGCTATTATATATCGTTTATCCCTAAAAATCGTAGCATCGTTATCAGCATTATGATGTATACTATAATTTCAATTATTAATGCATCTTTTTCAAAATTTCTGTTATCATTAAATGTAAAAAGGCGATAAAACGATCAAATTTTCAAACGTAAAAAATTAAATCATATCACTTTGCATTATTTTTTCTGTAATTTTTGATTATAGGATTCAGTATCTCCGAGTGCACGTTCAATATTCAAGAGACTTCTCGGAAAGCAATGTAAAAATCCATTTCCATCAAGTTTGAAAAAATTTGCAACAACGTTACATTTTTATTCCCCGAAAGCCTACAACTACGTACGGAGTACTTTCATGAATTGCTTGCCTCATTCAAGAACCATAAGTAAATGGTATCAAAAGATAAACAGCTCATCCGGAATTAATAAAGCCAGTATTAACGCTCTTCAAAGAAAAGTAGCTGATGAAAAAGCGAATGGAAAAAGAAAGTACTGTGCAATTTAAGAAAAAGTAGAGTTAATAAATGGCGAAGAATACGGATATATTGATATTATTGATAATGATGTTAATACTGATTAAATGCCTGAAGCGGAAAATGCACTTGTTTTGTTGTTAGTTTGTATAAACAGTAATTGGAAAATACCAATATCTTTTTACTTTGTAAAAGCGTTGACTGGACAGCAACAGGCTAAGATTGTAAGAGAAAATTTAACTGAAATTCACAAGACTGGAGTTCAAATTACTTCTATTACTTTTGATGGACTACAAAGTAATTTTAATATGTGCACTGAATTAGGATCGAAAATGTTTAGTGACAATTTTAATTCTAATTACTTTCTTCACCCCGTAACTAATGAACGTATTTACATCAATTCTGATGGCTGTCACGACTTGAAACTAATTAGGAATTCTCTGGCAACAGAAGATATGTATGATCGTGAAGGAAATCTTATATCATGGCAATTTTTTGAACATCTGGCTAATTTTCAAGAACATAATGGAGTGCATGCAGGCAATAAGTTTGGGCGACAGCATCTTGATTTTGAGCAAAATAAGATGAATGTCCGGTTGGCTGCTCAAACATTAAGTCAAAGCGTAAGCGACGCTTTTCAGTATTTAAAAGAACAAAAACTTGCTGATTTCCAAAACGTCGATGGCACAGCAAGATTTTGTTCGATAATCAACGATGCATTTGACATGTTGAATTCACGATCTCTATATAATAAAAATAAATCAAAAAACGCTATATCTTCTGAAAACTACGATGAATGCAAAAAAAGAGCTGAATCTACTATTGATTACATTAAGAACTTGAAAACGAAAGATGGCACTTTATTAGTACATTCTCGCAAAAAAACTGGTTTCGTTGGAATGATTACATCATTGAAAAGTGTTTTAAATATATATGAAGATTTTTTTAAAAATATGAATGGTTATTTGCTTACCTACAAACTTTTACAAGATCACCTCGAAAACTTTTTTTAGTGCTGTAAGAAGCCGAGGCGGATTTAGTAACAATCCGACTTGTTTTCAATTTATAAGTATTTTTAAGAAACTGTTACTACATGCAGATATCAAAGAATCAGAAAAAGCCAATTGTACATCGTTAGACGACACTAGTTTGTTGCACATATTACCAGAAGAAGCTAATTATGAAAATATTGCTAATAAAAAAAATACGGATATAATGTGTAATAATGATACCACAATTAGTAATAATATATATAACGATTATACATACTACTATGGCAAAGGAGTAAACAAAAATTATGTTGACAATGTTGTTGGATATATTGCTGGATTTGTAACGCGATCTATTTTGAAGAGAAGTAAATGTTTTGAATGTCCTCTGGTTCTTACTTCCGAAGACAATCATTCGACGCTAATACAGAAAAAAATCTTTGAGGTTTAATAAAACCTGATATTGATGTTATCAAAATATGCAGAATCACAGAAAGACTATTTAGAATGTATTACAAAAGTAGAAAAGGCATTTATATACAGTTGATTAATTTAGTTCTAAATCACATACCAGACAGTTATCTAACAATCCAACATACATCAGATCCCATTAAACACCGATCTTTACTAATCAAAGAAATAATTGGTACGTACTTAAGAATAAGAATAAATCATTACGAAAAACAAAAATTACAATCGTCGAAAAAAATCAGAAGAGTATATACAAAATTAATATTATTTAAAAACGAATAATTAAAAACAATGCTTGTTCAAGTTAAAATTTTATGAATTGCGTCAATTTTTTTTCATTGGTTCTTACATTTAATTTTTTAATTATAAAATAATATTTATATTAAGATAAGTTTATTGTTACCGATTTTTCAATACGTGCATTTTTTTGTATAATGAAAAATTTTAAGAAATAATATATATGCAAAAATTCCTTTATTATACTTTATTATCCTTTCGTCACTAATTTTTTTACAAAAATGATATTTAAGTTTCGATTTTGTAATTAAATGTTATAAAGTTAATTCTTAATTGTGATTTTATTAATGCTCTTAATGAAAAAAAAATGTACTTAGCATGCCGCGATCTCAGATCCCAAGCATGGAAAACAAAACCTTGTACCACTTAGCTACAGAGCATGTATTATATCACAATTATACTTAAATGTATTTAAGTTGTGCTCCCTTGGGCGAGTTTGAGTATGTTTTGGTTAGTCGAGGCTTATTTTTTTAACTTTTTGAGTTAATAACTATGAATTAAATGTATTGTGTTTATAAATTCTAAAGGATAATGCATAACTTTCATATTATTTTTAGTTGAGAAAACAAAAAATCTCGTCACCTTGCTTAGCGCATGCCCAATGAAACAGCCAATGACAGTGACTGTGCGAGAGAGACAGACTCTACCTAAACTCAGTCTCTCTCTCTTACGCCGATCACGCTTTCTGCTCACACAGTGCTCCCTCCATGTAATGTATGCTCTAAGGTTTCAGTGAATATTGACTATTTTGGTGCTTTTTTGTTGATTTGTAAAGGGTAATTGAGCAAATACAACATGATAAAGTGTTGCATCAATGGATATAATTCAATTTTTTTATAGAAGAGGGAGCTAACGAGCTTGCGGCTCACCTGATGTTAAGTGACTATCGCCGCCCATAATCAACTGCAACACCAGGGGAATTGCAGGTGCGTTGCCGGCCCTTAAAAAGGAGTAAGCTCTTTTCTTGAAGGTCCCCAGGTCGTATCGGTCCGGAAAAATCGCCGGTGGTAAACCGGTGGTAAACTATTCCACGGAGAAGTCGTACGCGGTAGAAAACTCCTTGTGAAACGTACAGTGGTGGATCGCCAAGTATCCAGATGGTGTGGATGGTATCAGGACGTTTACTGCGTAGTGCGTTCACGAAATTTGACGGCTGGGATTAATCCGAACAATTCCTCAGAGCACTCCTCATGGTATATGCGAAAGAAAATGCAAAGAGATGCAACATTTTTTCGCAGCGCCAGTGAATCGAGTCGATCGGAAAACACTCGGTCGTCGACGATTCGAGCTGCTCTGCGCTGGATGCGGTCAAGTGGAAGGAGCTGGTACTGGGGAGCTCCAGCCCAGAGATGGGAACAGTGTTTCATGTGCAGCCGAACCTGCGCCCTGTAAAGTTGCAGGCGGTGTACCGGCATGAAATACTATCCCACTCTGCTGAGCACGCCAAGCTTTTTAGAGGCCAATTTGGCCTTCTCTTCCAAGTGACCACGAAACTGCACATCAAAAATATTACTCTTCATAGTCATCATATAAATTTCTTATCGTATCCAAACCTTCTTCTTCATCTTTGTTCAATTTATATTTATTATTTTCCTTCATATTGTCTATTATTTGTTTTATCGGTTTGAAATTTACACAATTTCCTTAGGATCGAATAAAGTGTTTAGCTAGTAAAGTTAAATAAAGTAAATAAACAGCAGTATATCTTCTTAATGTACTTATCAAAAAACGAATGAAACAATTACCATAAACAATGAAGTGTACGCGAATGTATGCCGAATTCGCATCGGGAATCCCCCGCTCATCGAGTCATGACTACGTCTAGTGAAGTCTAGCGATGTGCGTTGTAATGACTTATCGACTACCGATAAATTTTTCAGAAAAAATTAGTAGAAATTGGATTGCCGTGTTTTAGAACACGGCAATTAATATGCTGCTGTGTACCGTGTTTTATTGCTGAATAGACCCAAATTGCCGAGTAACACGGCAATTGCCGTGCCGCTGATTCCGATATTGGCTGAGGCAACAAGGGAGTGCCTTGAAACTAAGGAGATACGACAAAGGGGTTATTTTTAGTAGTTAACGCGCAAACTTGTGTCTTCTG